CACTCTTTCACAGAAACATATCTTTTTTTAAATGATTTATGATTGGGGGGAAAAAAAATCCACGAATACTACTTCAGTTAATTTGAAAGTAAAATCCTGAGGACAAACAGCTAAGCCTGCTAATTGTAGGCTGCTTGTTTTAGTCAAACAGCTGTTAAGAAATGTTATTTCCATGTCTTGTGCTCTGTACCTACTTTCCACTCAGTGTACAAAAGCTAAATGATCATTACTTGTGGCAATCACCATTTCCCAACACAGAACAAACAGATCACTCAAACAGCACCTCAATGTAACTATTGGGTGTTACTTTCTCACAATGAAATTATTTGAAAGTTTGCTTAGACAGTATGAGCTCAAATAAGGCAGTTTCTAGTTAGATATTGATGAGAAAATAGAGTGCAAATCTGGATAGCTCTAGAAAAAAATCCTGAAAACACCTTTTTTTAACTGATCTTGAATAAATCTTCTGATGTGGTAATAATGAAAGCAACGGTAATTATTTAATTTTTTTTGTTTCCCCTTCATTCCCAAGAAAGACCTGACTGTAACATTAGCATGCCCCTGGTTTCATAGCAAAAGGCAAGCAACCTCTAGCAGAACTTTCAAAAGGGATCGAAACAAGCCAACTGCTTGACAGCTTAAAAAGCTGGTCAACAACAAGATGACTTTGTCTGAGAAAGACACATTGAGAAAGTGAAAGGCAGGTTCCAGGAACAAAAACCACATTATACCTGTAAAACCTTAAAAAGCACAATTTATCTTCCGTACGGACGCAAAAGGGCTCACATCTACTCGCTATTTCAGTCTGAAATTTAGATGTCTAGAAGATAAAGAATTAAAGATAACATTCTTAGATTAAGCTTCTTGAACCACACAGTGTTCTGGAAATATCTTATATTTCAGGTTTTTTCACTCTTGAAAATACTAAAAGTCTTTAAAATTGAAAATGCATTAATTGCACTCTGTGATGGAAAGGACAGAGGAAGAAACTGTGATGATCTATTTTAAAAGCTTTTTGAGGTGTATTTGGTACAATATGCCATTAATTTCAGTTCACTGACGTACTCATATATGCCTCAGACATTTATCAGTCGGCAGCATTACTAAACAGCTCAAAAGGTGAGGATGAATGCTGTGTTCCTCAATCCAAAAGCAGTAGTGGAAAATAAAATTACTGAGGACAGAAAAGCCAAGTAATTTATTAACTAAAAAAAAGTCAAAAAGACTTGAGAAAACATCAGAGCAATTCTAGCCACGGCTTTCCATTTTATCCAGAGTATATATTACAAAATACAAGTGAGCCCAGCATCACTTGTTCCATTTTGACTCAAAGAGAAGACTGCCATCTACTGAATAAGAGTTTCTAAAATGATAAATATACTCCTCAAAACCAAGTATCGGCTCTCCCTCCATCCTACTTATTTATGGGGAATTGCCAAGTTCAGAGTGCAACAAGGAAAGTAGTTTTTAACTGACTCGTAACTGTCATTTAAATGAATAAAACTCACTTGTCATGGTGTTGAGTCTTCTGAGTACTAAAAAAGCTGCCCCAACTAAAAATCTAACCAGACTCCCAAAGTAAATTAAATAGAGTAAAAAATAATTCTACAGCACACAGAACAAATTGGTCTTACAAAAATCTACCTGTTGTACAAACGTATCACAGCACTTCTGCTCCCAAATCCTTCTAATATGGAGCTGGGTATCTACTGTGTGCCCAGCTAAAAACTCAAATTATAGCATATTGCACAGGGAGAAAGAAGGTGGGGAGTGGGGGGCAAGAAATCAAGGCAAAATTCACCAACGCTCTGAAAAAGTCTTTGCAGGTACTTGAGAAAGGTTGCTGGGCTTGTTACTAAAAGTCTGTGAGCATAAATTTGAACTCCAGAGTTCCTTAAGGGGTAACTGTGCTGAAAGACATTCCTCATCTCAGTAAAACTATAAGCATAAAAAAAAAAGCATGGAGCATGCTCCCTGCTCATAAGGATTCTTGCTATTAATGATTAGAGCAGACTGCCAAACAGATGCAGCACCAGGTTTACTTTTGAATACTGTACCATAATTTCTGAATGAAGAACTAAATCTGTATTGACTGTTTTCTTGCAATCACTAAACCCCTCAGGAGTCTGAAAATTTTTCATAGTCCCTCATTGGGACTCTAGTGATAAAGCTGTTCTCACCAAGACAGACACTCGCAGTGCCTTATTCTAAAGGAAAAGTGTGTACATTTGTAGGTTGTTGTAAGGGATAAAACACATCAAGTAACTCAATATTTTAATGGAATAGCTAGAGATCATTCTTTGCAATAAAGACAGAACAAAAAGGGCTAGTACATGTAAAAACAAACTGCACAGATGGAAGGCAATTCTGAATTTCAAAAATATATAAAAGGGGAAATATTAAAGAATACTTTCATTAACTTTTCTGTCTTAAGATTCTCCCCCATTTCTGGCCGCCCCAAAGAGACATCCTCCCACATAAAAATTAAACTCCTTAATATGGTTAAGTCGAGCCACCAGCAAGTCAACAACAGTTGCTCTCCATTTTACATTTTTGCAAACAGAAAACAATGATCCCATAACATCTTAAAAGATACAAACAGAAGACTTACTGATCCTGTACGAACATAAGTTGCTTACCTTGCAAATACCCTGTCCTTGTTTGCTCTTTCTTTACCATACTGCACAGACTGAACCTCTGTTCTCCCACTGGAAAACAAAACAAAACCAAACCACTAAACGCAACAAACTTGGAATAACAATTTCCTGCTTAAAATTGAACCATCTCAACAACAACAAAAAAATACCTTAAATTCTACTTTCAGTCATGCTGCAGCAATTGTGCTAGCTTCAGTACAGAGTAACTTTTGACAACATTGGGCTAAGAAAGAAGAAGGTGGTCTTTCCCACTAGAGTCTAACTATAACAAAGACCAATTAATTTCAGGCATAACATAAAGCTCTCTCTTCTCTTCCTTTTTCTTCTTATTGAAAACAGTAAGAAAGTTCTGCTTGAATCTTTGGATAACACTTAACACTATAATCTTTCCTGTCATAGCCACAATCAAAAGCTACAGTATCTCCTCTGTACTCCTCCTAAACTATTCCCTGAATTTCTAATAACTTACCTGCTACTTAGTTCAGCAAAATATGGAGAAATTAGAGAAGCACATCAGGATTGTATTCTTCTACACAACTTGTCAAAACCAAGATTAGAACTTAGAACTTGCTGACTTTTCATGTAAGACCAGATGTCTTGTGTCAAATCAAAGATCCTTTATAATATTTCATAATTTCTGTGTTTTTTTTTTTTTAAATACAATCTTTTTTGAGTGTCTATCAGCAGTTAAGAATTGGTGGCGAGATACCAGCAAAACCCCCTCTTGCAGCCACTTTCCCGTTCATAAGTTCATACCAAGAGACAGAGTCAGAGGATACATGTCCTAAAGGATAATGATACTTAAAACTCTGCTCTTTTCTGACCCTCCCAGGAACAGTTACACTATGAAATCAAAGAATAATTAGCTATTTTCACATTCATATTACAGAACTACTGGATATGTGAAGGCTGAAGAAATGGGCCAATTGGAATCTCATGAAATGCAGAGGATGGAAATGCAAAGACCTGCGCTTGGAGAGGAATAACCTCATGCATGGGCTTGAGGGCCAACTGGTTAGAAAGCAGGTTTACTCAACACTGGTGAGACCACATCTGCAGTGCTGTGTCAAGTCCTAGGGCTACTCAAGTCAAGCAAAGGGCCAGAAAGACAAGGAGATGTACAAGGAGAGGCTGAGAGAGCTGGGACTGTTCAGCTTCAGGAAAAGAAGGCTCAGGGGGATGAAGTACGTGTGAACAAATGCCTGAAGGGGGAAGCAAAAAAAGACAGCCAGACTCTTCTCAAGGGAGCCCAGAGACATGACATGAGGCAACGGGCACAAACTGAAATATGAGACATCCTACCTGAACAAGGAGGGAAAAACAACAACAACAAAAACACAAAAACTTTCTCACTGTGAAGGTGGTGAAACACTGGATCAGGCTGCTCAGAGATGATGTGGCATCTCCACACTTGGAGACATTCAAAACCTGGCTGGACACAGCCCTAGGCAACCTGCTACAGTGGACCCTGTTCGAACAAGGCATTGGACTCGACAAGTGTCCAGAGCTGCCTTCCAACTTCTGCCATGCTGCGATTTGGCAAAATCTCTCTTTTCACACCTGCTGCCTGCTAACTTCCTGGAGTTATACGTTTTTAACTTAACAAGCATTAAGTTGTCTATATACTCCTCCATTCCTTTCCAACAACTCTAACGTTGTATTTGCCTTTCTATAACTAATAGTTGATTTAACATTTTCAGAGAATTAACTACAAAGGTCCAAGACAGTAATTGCTTATTTATAATTGATGTTACTCTTCTTTTCTCTCCCTGTGTAGATTATTTTGCAATTTTGGATATGGAACTTGATCTATCATTTTATTGCCTACTCACCCTCATTGCTACATACCACTGAAACTCTCTCCAGTCAACTTCAGCTTTTACAACAAAAACTTCCCTTCCCTCAGTGATAACCTCCCTTCATTGTGAAGAAGGGATCTACTTGTTTCCCTGGTTAAAACAGTTACTAATATATAATAAAACTCTTGATGTTTTGGCAGTTTAACTTCTTATTAACGAGTCTTTGCTGAGGAAGGCTACAGTGACCACTTCAAAAATCCAAGGACAGTGTACAGAAGTATTTTCTCATCAGTAGTCTTCTTGGTCCCTCCTGGAAGCAGCTTTTATTTTTTTTAAAAAAAATCTTGCTTTAAAATTTGCTTTATTAGAATCTTTCAGCCCAATGGAAATAATAGTTCAATAGCAATAGCAATACATTTAATAGTTCAATAATTTCATGTCTCTGGTTTCTTTGCCCAGCCAAGTTTTGAAAGCCTTCAAAAATAAGAAATCCTGCAAGATCTCCAAGTAACTTCTTCCAGTAGTGCACTACCCTCCTAGAAATAAAAAAAAAACAAAAACAACTTTTTCTAACATCCAGCTACAATTTTCAAAATTAAATTTGTGGCTGTTGCTCCTTGTTCTATCACCTGTCATTAACCAGCTGCCTAAACCAGCACAAGTTTAGCTCCATCATTTCTGAAACTGCCCTTGACGTAGCTTTAGGCTTGCTACTAAGTTCCCCCTGAACTTCCTCTTCACCAGATTAAACGAGCCCAGTGCCCTTAACCTCCCCTTGTGTGCCGTGTTACTACTATTGTGTCGCCTTCTAAACAATCTCTCAAACTACTTACAGAAACTCTAGCCTTTTGGCTGCTTCATTAACTTTAATGACCTTCTTCATTTTTATGCAGTTTCCCTTTTCATCTTACATTACCGTAAGTTGAATGTCATCATCAAAGAGCTATTCTGTAATAGTAACCACAATGATTCAAATTCAAAATCTTTACAAAAACGGGAAAAGCTCCCTTAAATTCACTACAGTAACACTGAACCAAGTCTCAAACACTGTTCAGGATCACAGAATGCTGTTTCTCAAATGGGTGCTGTGAATGCTGGTCAAAAAAATAGATGGTAAAAAAGTTGAGCCGCTGAATTACTTTCCTCTTTATACATTTATGCAATTCACAAGTTTAACAGAAACAGCCTGTTATTGTGTTGGCCAGTTTTTCATCATCTCTCTCTGTACGTCACAGACTCTGTTGCCATTCCAGACGGATGATTAGTAGGAGCTCCATTATTCTCCAGGCATGATTTAAACCATCGGCGTTTTGCATTGCTTGCGGAGACAGTGAACTCAGCTATTTAACTAAGACTTGTTTTTTTTAATAAAAAGCATAAAACACTTTAAAAATCAACACCAGCCACTCTATCATTAGAATAGAAATTGCAATTGGAGATTATAGTTATTCCACAGTCATTCTTTGCACCTTCAAGCTTTTTGCCCATTATGTCAAGCTTATCCTTAAAAGTTATGGACTTACTTTCATCATTATTTTCTTAACTTCTGGTTTTGGTGCAGAAAACATGTTTTTTGTCTCCACCTAGTTGTCTATTTGTATGCATCTAGTTTAAGCGAGCTTTACTTGTACAAGCTTCTTTTTGCTGATTTCTGTTTGATCTTTATTTAGATCTGTTTTGTCGCTGCTGCTGCATGCAGGATCTGAAATCTATCAGTTTTCAAAAACACCAGGCCAAAGGCTTTGAAGTTCTGAGACAACATTTTTAAGATAAACATAACCCAGTAGGTAAGCAGGCAAAGAAATGCAGCCTGTGAGATAATCTCAGAGTACTAGCTTGATAACAACCGCTAATAATACAATAATTGTATTTCCAAGATATCCTACAAATTAACTGACATTTGAAACTTAGGCCAGGGAAACACAGGAGGGGAACAGTTGCAGAATTCAAAAGCTACTTGAATTATGGCACCTTTTAATATAGATTCTAAATAATTCTCTATGTTTATTGATGAGTTGCCTGTTCTCTTATATTCTTCCCCATATATTTCAAATCAGCACTTACCAGTACCGGAACTTGGAACCCAAAGTGAAATAATGTGCAAAAAAGTTCTTCTGAGGGGGGAGTGGTCTGTCCAAACGGAAGAACGTGTGATGTTCAACACAAGCTTTCCACAAATTCTTACATGCTCGATAATTCACCATATTGAATCCCAGTAACGTTTCTCTAGATTCATGCTAAAAATGAGAAAAAAATATTTCAGATAAAAATTATTCCCAGTTACTTTTGAAATTAAGATAAATACTGTTAGGTTTTGGGGTTTTTTTCCCGTAATTATGCTTTTTGAAGTGATTTGCTAATTTTACCTTAAATTTATGTATTATAAACCCTTTTACAATATCTCTAAGTTTTCTGTAAAGGAATTTTAAAGTTTACAGTCACTTTTTTTTTTTTTAATAAGGCTGCTCACAGGTTAACAGATGGGAAGCAATAGTCCAAAAAGGTGGGACCGAAACCACATTTAAAAATTTCTCTGATTCAAGAACTCAAAGGCAACATGCCTCCCTGTTTCAAGATGACTACAGTTAAGAGAAGAAATTGTCACGCACACGTGTCAATTAGAGATTGTGAAGTTACTGACTGATATGCCTACTTCTAAATGGTTAATTAGGTTCCTGGTAAAGGAAAGAAGCAAAATCGTACAGCAAGCTAAGCTATTCTGCCTGTTGAGGGAGCTTGATTACAAGCTTTGTAGGCAAGAAAACCATCATCAGCACCCTGCTTTCCCTTCACAGTACTAAATTCTGCACGACATTAGCGCACCTTAACTGGTTTCACTTAGCAGTAAACTGCTTTGCCAAGTTAAGATTTTGCTGGCCTGCTCATCTTTAGATCTGCTGAGACACTGGGCCACAGACCTGCAACTCTTCTCCCAGTGTTGTATCTGGGAAGTTGTCAGGACTAATGGCTAAGAATGGCACTGTGCTTTCAGTCATATGATGAATTTAAGGTAAAGAATAAAACGAATTCAAAAAGTAAACAGAAAATTCTGAGTATCTATTGACAAAATTCAAGAAATTATATGCAAGAAACTAAAACTTGATATTTTACTTCAGTTCACAAAATTTACTTATATCTCTTTTCTTAATTTCCAAGTATTGCCAACTGTTCCCTGTATTTTCTAGACATGTTAACAGAAGTACTTAAAAATTAAGTCACGAACAAGGGAACAGAAATTAAGTCCATTACCTATTCAGTTAAAATTTATCAACAATGTTATGTACAATAATATAAACAAGATACATTACTATTCTGCAAGATAGCAACTACGTAAAATTATGGACTGCCTTATCTGTTTCCATAAAGTATGAACCACCTAGGATTTTTAAATTCCAACAAAAAGTTCTCATGATGTAGCAAATTTTAATGCTCTGTCAGTCTTTTACACTATTGGAAAAGAGAATTTCACTAATTATATGAGCTGCTGATCATGCATTTTCATGTCACTCTTAAAGCATTATGCGTTAGGGAGGCAAAAAAAAATCCTGCTGTTTCCTCTAGTTTGTATTCCAGAGAATGTGCTGATCTGATTCTCATACCATCATCTGATCACTAGATCAGGCATGAAGCATGAAGGAGGAGCTGGCATGGCAGGAAAAGAAGGAGCCGAAGCTAGATCAGCCTAATTGTAATGCGGAACAGCACTTCCACAGGAACTTGGCGTGTCAGAGCTTTAAAGGTACCTTAACAACAGTTCTATTCACAGCTTTTAAGGCTTTCTTTGCAGCGCAGAACTGATTCTCAAACCCTGCCCTTCAGCTCAATCACAGCTAGGAATCAATCCTTAAGGTAAAGAAGAGTGTAACATATCGGCTCCTAAGGGCACCCATTCTTTTCCTATCCACCCTTGCAGGTTCTGTAAAACCCAAACGTAAGTTGGGCACTTGAAATTCATCTTTGCTGATGATTCTGGAGTGCAAGCCCTGGTTCTGCTGCTGTCTGGTAGCTCGATTTAGAGTAAGATTGCTCCTGTTTTCCCTGCAAATAGTAGGCTTGAATCAATGTGCGCTCAGCGTTAATACCCCAAGGCAACACTTGTTAGTGTCGATGGCACTTCAGCCAAAAGCACACAAAATAACAGGACAGTCATACTGCAGCCTATGAGAATAGCACCAGGCTCCCAGAAGATGCTGAATGTTCTACAGTGTGACAATCACGTACAGGCATTTCAGGGTTTTAGGTCTGTTGAGACAGTGTTAGAAGACTACCTCAGGAAGTCACAGTTGGATTCTGCTCTGAAATTACTATCTTACTAATTACATCCTTGGTTCCTATTAGAGAGAGGAAAACAGCCTGCTTGCTACAGAGGGGGAGAAGAGTGAAGCAGCTGGAATGCAATACCTGTGATGACAGGCTCAGGGCCCAAGCGTGAAGCTACAGGCGCACCAAATACCATCATGTAAGTTAATGTAAATCACAATCTTACACCATGTGGCAGTCTACCTATAGAGTCCAAGAAGAAACACTGCAGGGATAGGGCAAAGTAAAGTCTGTCATGTTTGTGATTCCTTTTATTAAAAGGACAAAAAACAAACAAAAAGAACAGGATGGATATTGGTTCCCCTCACACACACCACCTTGACCCTTGAACATTCACCTTGGGTGGGGACATTCATTCAAACCCACCTTTGCCTGATTCAAAATAGGGACTGCAGAGCAGATTTCTCACTGCTCAGGAGAGAAACTGGGTTGAAAACCACATTCTCTAGTGGGTCTCTTTCACTTTGCCTAAACTAAGAAAAATCCCAGAACAGAGCAAAAATTCCCTACTGCCATCTCTGAGAGAGACAAAAAACCTTGCCCTTTATAAGCAGTAGATGCTCCAGAGACTCAAGATATTCCACAAATAGTGGACTTGGATATTGTTTTGTTACAGACTCAAGTAATTTTTCAGTGGACATGTGGGCTCTAAAAGAGCAAAAGAATATGCTGAACAGCTTATTTGGCTGTCAAAGAATCAAGACCACAAAAGCATGCTGGACTGAGGCTAGGGCTGAGGCCAATGGCATGAGCTTTAAT